AGACCACGTCTTCTCCCTTGTGAAAAAAGCAAACACTCAACTAAGACCCAGAGAGTCAACTGTGTTTCCAGCAACCTTTGAGGTGATTCATATTTTCTTTGCAATGATCCCTCAGGCTAGAAGCATGTCTTCTTCATATCCCAGATGTCCAAATTTCACCTCTGAGTTTCTGAGCTATCTATTCTTGTCATGTAATGAATAGAGAAGAGACTCAGGCAGAAGGAAAAGAATGTGACTTCGTGGTTTGTCTGTGTGGCCTGAGGACAGTCATTTTTAACTCTTCCTTCTTCCTCACTGACCACATCTAAGCCAATGCCAAGTTTTTCCAATTTAGCCTGCAATTATTTCTGAAGTTTATTCATTTTTTTCTAACTGTAGTTCTTTCTAACTTTATCACCTCTGGCCGAGACTACTACAATTGTATCCTAACTTGTCTCCATCTTTTCACTCTTGTACCCTTCAAATTTACATTCCAAGTTTTTGCTAAAGTGATCTATATAAAATGAAAAGTTATACAAATCATTTTTCTGCTTAAAATCCTTCAATAGGGCCTCATCACCTATAGGAGAGGTCCCAAGGTATGAGCTATGCTTGCTTTGTCAATCTTGTCTTATACAACTCATGGTCTAGCACAATGGAGATAGCTGCAATTCCATACATCTGTCATAATCTTTTTCACTTTCACATCTCCTCTGCCTAGACTATTCTTTTTCTCCCTTTGTCTTATCTTCCCCACAGTCCTCTACCTCACCCCCTACCCCAACTCACACTCTCCTACCTCACCCACCCTCTAACACAAAGACTCATCTCAGTTAAGCTAGTTACTCAATAAAACATTGTATGATTCAGGTCAGCAGTCACCTCCACCAAAATTCCTTAGTTGGTCCCCCCCATTGTCCCCAGAAACACTGTGCAGATCATTATGCCATTACTGTTTTAAGTAGCTGTCTGTTTTTGTATCTTTCTTCCTCATCAGATTGTGAACTGCCCAAGGACAGAAACTGAGCTCTATTAATCTTTGGGAAATCAATTTTTCCCTCCACATGCATCTTGAGAAGCTGTCATACCCTGAGCTAGACAAGACATATTAAGCAAACTACTAGAGTATAGATGCTAGAGCTTCTCTTACTTCTTCCTTCCCTCTCCCTTCCCTTCCTCCCCCTCATTGTGGGTGCTGGGAGAAGGAAAGCCAAACTGGGTAACAATCCAGGGTTTCTCCCCAGCCTTACTCAGTTTCCCTGCCCACACTCCCCCCCCCCTTTTTTATATCTCCACAAAGAAGTCTTATTCTCATCTTTTTCTTATATCGGCTCTCAAAGGTCAGATCAGGAAGAATCTGAATGCCCATTAAAACAGAATCCAAATAATTAGTAACAGAACCACAATTCCTGGAGGGCTCAGTAAGCAGGAATACAAATATCTAACCTCAACTCCCAGAAAAGGAGGGTACATGCTGGCATTTCTTGCTGGGGTTGGTTCTTCCAATCAGAACTGGCCCAATGATTCCTTGCAAGCAAACATAGCAAAAGGCCAAGCAAAATAAAACCAAACAAAAAATAAGTTAGATTTTCCTATTAAGACATGTTGAACTTTTTGATTCTTTACGTTTACTTTTTAGTGCTTTTAGTGGATATTTGTTGAATAAATAATAAAGCTAAAGTTACTGGTTTTTTTTTTTAGCTGAGCTATCCTGCCACCTGTTGACAGCTCAACGGCAGCTCAGCTTGGGCCAGGATTCGAACCAGCGACCCTGTTGCTCAGAGCTTGTGGTCTTGAGTGAGCTCTTAACCAACTGAGTCATTTGGCCAGCCCTAAAGTTACTGTTGAGACACAAATTTTGAATAAGGATTGAATGAGATGGTAGTCAGCCCTAGCTGCTGATAAGAATGTACAGTCAGATCACCATCTTTCACTTACAGATTATTTAATGAGATCCTATTATTTGCACAGTGTTATACAAAGAGACAGAACATCATAGTCCTTGCTCTCAAGAGATTTGGAAACTAGGGATCTAACGGAAATACAAATCAAAAGCTAAACAAATTGAAGCATATGAAATGAGAGGTGTTCAATATGTAGAAACTAACCAATGGCACATGAGTGAGTGATACAGACAGTAACTGTTTTGAGACCTGAGAAGGAAGAGACACCCTAGGAGTTATTGAACAAAGTATGGAGAGAGGAATGCCCACAATGTGTTACTGGATGTTGACTTACCAGCTAATTAGGAGGCTTTTGGTTTGATGAAATGAGGTTGGAAAAGCCTGTGGAGGCCTCTGAATTGAGGATGAGTTTTTCTCTATTAAGCCACTGGTTATCAAGCTTGATTTCAAATTAGAATTTCCTGAGAAACTTTGAAAATACTGGTATCTGGATCCGATAGCTGGAAATTCTGTTTTAATTGGCCTGGGAATTGAGGGTTTTAAAAAGTTCCCCAGGTGATTCTAATATGCTTTTATCCTGAGAAATCTATTAGGTT